CACAGCTTCTCTAGCCATTCGTTTGTTGATGGGCACTTAGGTTGTTTCCAACTCCTTGCTATTGTGAACAAAGCTGCAATAAACATGGGTGTGCATAAGTCTACTAACATTTGTTGTTCTTTTTGATTGCCTTCAAGTTGAGCACGACTCACAGTAACCCTATGAACAAAAGGCTTGAAGCCCCTCTACTACAATTTTAATTAATGTGAATTAAATTCCAATACTTTATTGCCAAATTAGACTGTTTTTTTGCATCCAGATTATAATCTAGTGACAACAATAAATAAATTAGCTAAATATATTAAATAAAACCCCATATAGTCTATAGTTTTGTCTTTACAGTATTATGAGTCCTTCTACTTACAACCAAAGAAAAGTGAAGGTAAAATCATAGAAATAAAACTATTCAAAACCCAGAACATGATCATTTCAAATGGGAAAATGTTGAGGAGGGAAACAAATAGTTTAATTGGGTCCATGGGCTGAAGGAATCAAGTGGTTAATTGGGACCACAGCCTGAAGACCGGATCTGGTTCCAACAATACATCAAAGTTCCTTCAATGTCTACGTCATTGTTGTTCTGTACTCTAGAGTCAGAACAAACTCATCGCTGACCTTCCAGTGGGTTTCCGGAGTTTGTAAACTGCAGGGGAGGGAATTACCCATTTTCTCCCATTGAGCAGCTTTGATCCTTTTATAATTTCCTAAATTATTAAAATTACAGAAATTTCATCCCATTGATTCTCCTAATATTTACGCTTCAAAATTCAACCAAGCATCAGCCTAACCTATTCCTTAATAAATACTTGTTGTTGTTGAATACTGTAGAGTCAGAACCAACCCATAGCTGACCCTTCAGCGAGATTTCAGAGGCAGTTAGTCAGTGGGGAGGAGATTGCCCAACCTTCTTCTACAATAAATAATTGTGGGACAAATTAATAAATGAATATTCACCATGTAATCTCTTTCAAAGACAAAAATCCTTATAGACATAAAGACAATAAGAATACTAATTTATCATAGCTTATCTCTGGGCCTTCTGATTCATTTGATTGAGTAAATGCTTCTAGAAGTTTAGCATGCTTCAGAACCATTTAAAGGATGTGTTAAAATACAGATTATTAGACTTCATCCATAGAAATGTTGATTCCATAAATTTGACTTTTCAGTGATATTTATGCAATACTTGTGCTTCTGGCCTGGAAGCTGCTATGTGAGAACTATTAAGGAATTCTGGTGGCAAAGGTGATAGAGAGCTGCACTGTCAACCCAATGTCTGCTCATCTCCGGCAGTTCAAATCCACCGAATCTGATGGAGGGTCACTCTTGGTCAGAACCAACTAGACTGAAATGAGGGAGTGGCATTGCATCAATTCCTGATTTATAATGGGAAAAATTAATATATTTTAAAATTCTGCATGCAAGAATAAGTATTTTTAATTTTTTTTATTCTTAAAATGAAATATTTTTAAGTGGCAAAAATAGCATCAATTATTTATAAAGAGATTAAACCAGAGATAAAATCAAAACCATTATTACTTTCCTTTACCACCAAACCACCAGAGTTCTCTTAAATACTGTTAGTTCATGCTGCTTAAAACCAGTTTTTAAACTTACCCCCATATCATAGTCATCTTTCACGTAATAAATACTCTTCTAAAATATTATAATGGTTTCATGTAATATTTAACTTCATGACTATTGCTTAATGTTTTAATCTAATCCATTCCTATTACGTGCAATACTGGTGGTTTCTATTTTTAATTATTTACAAACAATTTATATTATTAAACGTTTGCATATATACTTAAGTATGTCCTTAAGATTATACCTTCAAGTAAAAATGCTGTTCTTTAAATTTATGTTTCAGTGCTTTTAGTGTTTATCATTAAAGATGCTTTTAAAAGGTTGTTCAAAATTGTACACTTGTCCTAAGCATGAGAATACTTCTTTTCCTATAGTACTTCACACTTGCGGAACAATTTTTGCAAATTCAAAGAAAGCTGGTACTGTCTTGCTTCATTTTAGTTGTGATTGCTAATAAAGCTAAATTCAGATACCCTTTTTGGGGAGGCAATATTTATTTTCATGTTGCACTTAAGTGTGACTCTATCCTTTTACCTTTGTGTTTTTTTCTTTTTTTATGACAAATAAGTTACATTCCCAAGTCTTTAAAATTTGTACATTAGTCAGAACAGTTGACACTTTGTATATGAACATCAGTAAGATATTTGCTCGTAGATGGTATATAGTGAATCTTCCTATTCATAAAAACAATAAATTCTTTCAGATATAAAAAATCTTTAACATAATATAGTAGTAGTAGT